TTAAAAAAACAAAAAAAAAACGTATGTTTTATTTCTGAATATCGAATACGGCGCGTATCTTGCAGAATTAAATGTTAAAATCGGCTCGATCGGTTGCAAGAAGGATGAGGGGGGAGTCAAGGCCGGCCGCGTGACATACATCCCGCCACATTCACCTTCCGTCCACCGACCGACGTCGCCGCCACCACCTGCCCATCGCCACTGTCAAGGCTGCCTTGCGAAATACCACTACCACGCGCGGTTAGCTTCGCGAGACCCACTTATCTTAATGTCGCAACTGACCAACAAGCTCCGGTAATGGCCTTAAGACCTCCCCACCCTATTTCTCCATAACTTAAAGGCAAATATCGTAAATTTCCACTTCCGCTTTTCGATAAAACATATTTTCTTATTACTCTTTGGAAAGTAAAGTTGATTAATTATTTTAGATGATAATTTTTTTTCCTACCTTTGCTGATAGCCTTAGAGGCTATATCAGCGTTACCCTAGCGTGTAGGTGAGCTCTCGAGGCCCAAACCAGAAGTTGTTGCTAACACTGGACCTAGCAAGAGCAGTGCTTCGCAGAATCCACCACCGGATCGGAAACGCGACTCACTTAGAAGATCTGACGAGAAACTCAGTGGGCTGTGTCTAAGGGTTAATTATTACTTCATTTCATTGTGTTCTATGAAAATTTCAATAAAATGTTGTTAACTGATGGCCATAAAGACGAAATTCATACGTGAACTGGATAGGGTTTGAAGTGTTAACTGATTACCCATTCATATAATGTTCGAACTTGCATTACAAGATGTACATAGGTGTAAATGAATTACAGAATAGAAACGACAATGCATACGAAATCAAGTCAGCGTGAAATCGTAGAGATTTTTCTGGTAAATTATTCATGTGGTTCACGTTGGACCAACTTTCGACGTCTTCTTGTAAAAAAGCCTTTCACTCTCATCATATTCGTGGCGTACGCTTGTATGTATATATGTTAAGACGAATTAAAATTAATCATATAACTCAAAAGCCAGCTTTTCGTTATATGTATATATTTTGCGTTTTGAAAATGATAAAAAAAAAACACTCACTCACAGCTTCATGAGAAAACATTGAGTAGAACTAGACGCACTGTTTAACGCGAGCCAGATTAGAATCCTACAAGTGTTGATGTTACTAACGTTATTGTAGTATGAATATAAGTACAGTTGTTCTTTGCGACTGGTGTAGTGGCTTTCAGTGTGCTTAATGCGAGTATTTTAACGTTCTCATAACGTAAAGTTAACTCAATTTTGTATGCAGTAAGAACAGCGCTCCTAAAGATAAACGTAGCCGAACGTTCCAACTCCATACAAATTTGAGTTAACTTTTGCGCTATCGAGAACGTTAAAAAACTCGCACTAAACACACAGACCGACAGGTGCATTTCGTCTTGATAAAAGTATGCCAACGCTTGCAACGATTTGCGCAACGAAGCGCACACGACACGCGCTAGTCGCTCCCGTGGAGGATACCGTTGGAGACAGTGCAGATTCAGTGCATCTGTAACGAGATTAATTTTAAATCACCACTGCGCCAAAAAAATACAAACAAAAATATACATAAACTACACTCTAGGTTAACTCTTTACTCGGGCGACAGTGTTGAAATTAAGTTATTACTACTATGAACATTTCTTATATTAAAGTACCAGCACTTAAATAGCAGATTTTAGGTGTCTACTATCAGTTTCCTATGGCTTCAAGGAAGGGACCCTTTCCTATAGAAAGAATAATTAAGTATTTTCTGTTGTTACGAGAATAGAGTCTCGGATTCAATTACGCTTTTAATATACATAATTAAAATGATAATGGTAAATTTTCAATTAAATTGCAACATGTCGCTATGGGCCTTTAACATTTTCAACAGACGTGCGTCTGAAGGATAGCAAATATTAATGTATATCAATATTTAATCAGCGTTATGTAGTTTGGTTGCGTGTCACCGAGCCAAACCGGACCCGATGCCGGATGCCTTTGGCCATACTATGTTATGGAAATACGCATAACGTCACTGGTTGACCACTTTCACATTTTTTAATTTGATTAACTAAGCACAGACCATTGAGTACTTAGTCTGTTACGCTATGTTATAATAAACATGAAGAGGTTATTAACACTTTTTCGATGTGATACGTTGTTTACACTTTGAATTATTATACCGTGTCATTAAATATATCCGAAATGGTTATTCGAATTTTAATAAATAATGACAAATCAAATCACTTTGTTTTTCAGTATGCTGTTCCAGCTCATACATATATCGATTTTCTATTAATTAATTTTATGTTAATATCTTACAATCGTGTGTGTATAAGTCACGCAATTTACCTTAATATGCAATAATTATATTAATTACATGCCTACTCGTTATTAGAGAGAAATCAATTTCATTTCTCGAATCGATGAAAAGAATGTAATGTAATTCATAAAAAATCTATCACAAATTGTTGTTAGCTGGTTAAATTTTTTTTAGGTAAGTGGACATTTCGCGTTTGTGGTGAAGTGTCAAAGATCTGAGAAATACTATGTAGCATCCTCCAAAGTTAGTACCTTGTCTATATAATTGTTCGTTCATCTTCGTTGTCTGTCCACTGCCTATTCGACGGTTTACGGTTCCCTGAAAAGCAAATTTGTCTTTTTTAGGCTGTACTGATTGTAATTCAAAATCATTGCAATAGATGGATGGACAGAAAGTTCGTACTTTCGTTGGTGGTGGCTGTAAGCTTGCTTGGGTTGAATTCAAGTGGGTTGGCCAGTGACGGCGAGCCTGTTTCTGCTACAAATCAAATAGCGTTGTAATTTAAAGCAATTATACGTTCCTGCTTGGAGGACAGCGTAGCTCGTTATGACAATTAAGGTTTCGACTTTAGGTATATCTCGATGTTGGGAACGGCATTGACTTTCATGTCTATATGAGGTCAGGTGATAGCATACGAGCTGGTGTGGTGGTGAGCTTAATAATAAAAAAAACAACGAAAAGAACCAAAAAAGTTTGACGGTTAAAATTAAAAAAAATGGACTGAAAAATCAATTTGATGAAAATTGGTTTAAATATATTATGTTGTATAGCTTTTGAGACAACGTAAAATTTTTTAAACTGCAATTCATTTCTAAATCAAAAGTACAGAAATGTCATGAATAATGACGTGATTTTAATTATGTACTCAGATGCATCATTAATATAACGCTCAATCAATGGTCAACGTAATCAGAACGGCGTGTTAATAGTAAACAGATCCCTCGGTAATTATGTAGGTATGCAGGTAAGAAATCCGACCGCTGGATACCCGATGTGGGTTAACGGGTGTCCAGTCGCCAGTACGGGCAGGTTGTAGCTTCGTATACACAAAAAATATGTAACTACAGATGGAATAACTTTTTTATTCTTTAACTTGAGTAAGTAATCGAACGTTGCAAATCATTTATGTATTATCTTATGATAAGATAGATCCTAATAGTGATGCAACGTAAATCATTTGTTTGTAATAAAAGTTTAATCGATCTCGAGTTTTATGCTTTGGAACATTGGCAATTAAGAAAATTGTGTTGAAACAATAATAAGCACTAGCTTTTTTTCCCTACCTATGCTGATAGACTTGAGAGGATATTTCAGCTTTACCTTAGCGTGTAGGTGAGCTCACGGGGCTCAAACCGGAAGTGTTGCTTTTAAAGCAGTGTTTTGCCGAGTCTACCACCGGATTGGAAACGCGACCCACTGAGAAGATCCGGCGAGAAACTCAGTGGGCTGTGTCTATGGATTAATTTACTCGTCGAGCCCTTCGTCGGCTCGGCGAGGACGATGACCGGTGCTTGACGTACCTAAAAGCACCGTTAATGGATCGGGAGGATCCGTAACGACGTGTTTTAGGCGACGTCGACTGTTTACCATTCGGTCCACAGAATCGGATATATGAACACTAGCGCAGAATTTTTAGCTATCTGACTAAATTCCTTTGAATATAATCCGAACTAATTAAAAATTTTAAAGGAATTTTTGAAAACATTTTAGTATAATAATTTATTTATTTTTGATTTATTTCAAAAAATGTTTTAATTATATTTTCTAATTCGTCTGGAAACCATTAAACTAGTGTGAGTATTAACATCTATTATATATAAAACTTGGACGTAAATGTAATCAATATGTATAATTTATGTTCAATATGCAACATATTTGAAAACGATAACTTTCAAGGTTTCATTTTTTGCAAAACAATATTTTATGTGGTATTAATATTTATATACATATTAAAAAAAACTGGTTTTGTTAAAAATAGTATCGAACTTTTTCGTATATTTCACATAGTTTTTTCTGATTGAAGAAATATTATCTGTGAGTGCCCTTATTACAATGCTGCAAAGCAAAGATGTACTTGTAAATAAAAAAAAACATTAAAAAGAAAAAAACGCTTTTTTTTCTGAACTTAATATCAAAAAAATTAAATTTAGGCTTGTGCTCTTTGTTGTGGTAAGTAGCGTTGGTCCCGTTGAGGCGGTCGGAAGCGATGCGCGTTGCCCGCCACTGTACGTCCGCCCGTACATTAGTATGCGACCACATTACAACTTTCTCGACATTCTTGCCAAGCGGAGAAATGGGTGCCATCGATATATTGTCTACAACGTTGTTATTAAACGTAATTCGATCAACGGATTCCACTTTTTTATAATAACGTCATCGTTTGAATAATGAGAATCGTTCTATTTTATAGAAAACAGTGACTTGTTGTTGCGGTATATTTTAGATATATTTTACTGAATTTATTCGATTGGAGCTCAGATCGTATTATCCGTTAAATATTCGAGAATAACATAGTGAATATTCTTGATAAACCTGCAAACATACTGAAAATGACACATCATGAAAAGTTTTAACATAAAAAAACTAAAAAAATTATAAATAAGATTCATAATGCGATGTAGTTTTTACTTTTCCTTTGAAATCATTTCAACGTGATGCTATATGATTGTTTCCAGGTGGCGATGGCCGGCGACTTCATCCTCGCTGTGGCGTCGATGATGATAGCTCGCTTGCGCAGCGATGATGTCACACTCGTGCTCAGTCAAGTGAGTCAAATTATTAATAATGTTTTAATGGTACGTAAAAAAAATAAGACAGCGTGCGATACTGCGGCCGATAACACAAGCCGCAAAATACGTAAGGTTACGCTTTAAAGATAAATACAAAAAACATTTCTAAGTTGACATGTCTCGGGTTGCTAGCTTTGATAATTGGTTCAGCTTGATTTCATAACAAATTAGATGGTGGGTTCTCTTGTTCTCGTAAATTCAGAGATTGCTTTGCATTGTGTAGTTTTTACTTCGCCTTTGAATGTTTTCATACCAAGCTATGAATCCGTGGCCTGAAGATGTATGTCGTTTGATGTTTTTTTTATTCTTTAGGGTAAGTAGCTCATGGCCCATCTGAAACAAATCGGGGATTAGATCCTATAGATATTTTGACACGAATACCACCACCCACCATGAGACACGAAATCGAACTTTCAATAGTACAAAATTACAACTCCAAGTCGGAATGCATGACCGTTTCTGACCGACAAAGTTCTGGATGGTTAGATGACTTGCCATAGGCCCTAACATCAGGAAATACGATTGGTGATGGCAGTACACTGTTATACTGTCCAGAGAACGCTATTTACAATTTCCGGTGAATCTTTACGTCACGCCATTAAGACACCCACGGGAAGAGATAGAGTAGCTATCGTAGACCACATGCCATACGGTCATCTTATACCTAGCAATCCAACTATGCCGAGGTTGGCATTGTGAATTCATTTACCAATTTTTTTCAAGTAAATACGTTTAGAAATATTTGGTTAAGACTCCCACGAAGAAACAATACATTGCTTGTTAAAATTTACAAATATACAAAATTTACAAGTTGCGTAGTTGTGACCGGGCATATTGTGCACTTGCATTAGTTGATCCCACCATCTATTACATATATACATATTGAATAGGTATTATAAATATATTCATTTTTTGTTTATTAGTGGTAGGGTATGCTGTGCTGTGTGATACTCAATAAAAAGTTTCTCCAGTTTCTCTAAGATTTTTATAGTAAAAGTGTGCGTTTCACATTCATAAGCACTCATTATGACTAGCACTTTTTGTTTAAAAAAAACACTAGACTTTTTACATTTTAGCAATTTTAATATATAATTATGAAAAATTCACCCACTTTAAATTGTAAATAAAATATTTGCTTGACTTAACTAAACTAAACTTGACCGTCTGGTGTAGTGGTAAGTGACATGGTCACTACACAAGGGGGTCGCGGGTTCGAATCCCGCCAAGGGAAGATATTTGTATGATAAATATAAATGTCTTTTCCAGGGTTATGGATGTATATTAATTATATGTATGTGTATAATAAAAATATTACATTTATTTCCGTTAGCTGGTACCTGTAACACAAGTTCTTTACGAACTTATCACGGGACCAGTTAACGTGGCGTGATTGTTTAAAAAAAAAAAAAAAAACACGACTTCACGACACAAGTCTCGTATTTACGGTCTTATTTAAACTGGATATAACATTTTAGGACGATACCTACTTGGGCAGTGGTCGAATACATTAAACTAACATAGTTTCCTTCATAGCTACTCTGAATTCCGAATGCCTATAAGCACGACAGTTTGCGGTTTTAAAGAACGTCGTTTGAGAATATCCTCATAATTTAATGTGACTTGTATGTGAAGTGTGTCTTCAACCGCAGAATTCGATTGTTTTAACGTTATCTTAATAGGAGTAGAAATGGTGGTATATATTTTTTTTTTATTTATACTTTATTTTAGTTTTCTTTTTTTTAAAACAATAACATTTTGTTAGTAAGAATTACTTATAATCTATGTTAGTAACTTAAAAAATCTAACACATAACTATCATTACATATATTTTATATCATTACATTTGTTTTTTTTTTATTCTCCATAATCTCCAGATAATCAGTTTCCTTTTCTTTTTAAATAATGAATTTATTTGTGAATAAAATTACTTTTACCGTTTAATCTCGGGTTTGTTATTGTGTTGACATTATTTGCTACGTTTTGAATGCTTTACAGCTTTCGTGGTCACGAACGACTAAATTGCTAAAGACTAAAGTGCACGGAATCTATATGTGTTACACTTTTACTATTGGAATAAAACAATGCAAAAGATTGTTAACGAAATTTCCATGAATACACGAGTGATTATTTATTAGCTAAGCCTGTGCCGTGACACAGACAGACCTTTAAAAGGCGCGCCCTGTTACTAAAACGTATTTCTGACTAACAAATAGTTTCATTCAGACGAATGGAAAACATAGATGGATACGTGGCTATCTGTGGTATGAATCAGTAAGTATAATAGCAGCAGACACCTTATGTAATATTTTGTATAAGTCAATCGGTGATTGGTTTATAAGAATCTATTATCATTCATTAGATGACATAATTTAGTGTGTCTTTAAAAAATATAATGTTAATAGAAAGTATGATAAATATATTATTATATTATTCGTTGATGAGTGTAGGAGCTCATAACCAATCTGAAATTATTTATTTCCACGCAGCTACATTCATGTATTTATTGTCCAAAAAAGTATTGCTAAATTACGTACTAAAAAACGTAGCTTCCTTGTGCAGATCTTTAAACAGAAATAAGGACACTGGCTACTTACTGCGCAGTGGACTTAAAAGTAATAAAATGTCAAACGACAAATATTGAAATTGTGGATGGGCGTTTGTTTATTTCACGCAATTATTTTACGTACTAAGTACTTTATGTAATGCGTAAGTAGCACTGAGTAAATGTGCGTGCGAGGAACGAGGTCGGGCCTGAAATATCCATTAATAGCATCGCATCCTGCCGGAGTCCTTGGTGCAATTACATTAACAGTGTCAATTATTCACCGTTAATCGTTTTCGCAATCTTTTGTGTTTGTTGGATATTTAAAAAAATAATTCTAATTTTATGATTAAGATGAAGAGTGAACGGAAATAAATTGAATTGAATCTACCTATTTCATTTTAAGTTATCTCAACGAATTGGGGCTAGGATAACGTTGATTCTGGTGGTAGGAACTCTTGTGAGTCCGCGCAGGTAGGTACCACCGCCCTGTCTATTTCTGCCGTGAAGCAGTAATGCGTTTCGGTCTGAATGGCAGGGCAGCCGTTGTAACTATACTGAGATCTTAGAACTTATATCTCAAGGTGGTTGGCGCATTTACGTTGTAGATGTCTATGGGCTCCAGTAATCACTTAACACCAGGTGGGCTGTGCGCTCGTCCACCCATATAAGCAATAAAAAAAAAAACTTCATATCGTTGTCACACCACAGTAATTCGTCTCTGTTCTGGTCTAATTTTATTGTCATTAACATTCAAGCTGAACCATTGCTTTGTTCGCTTCGTTCGTCTAGTGGTTGGCGTTATATAGAACCTCTCGGCTTCGGTTCGATGCTCGGTCATATCATAAGATAGGTTGATATTTGTCATTGATATTTGGTATACATTTTACTGTCTCGTATTAGTGTTCTCGCAAATAGGATTTTCCCCTGAAGAAAGCTTGGGGTCGTTGATTTTTGGTTTGAGTGTTTGTTCATAATCCGTCTGTTCTATCTCCTTATCACGTCCTAAATCGAGTTTCTTCTTTTTAAATATATAAATAATACTTGATTTATAAAAATACATCGTATTGTAGTTCTTTGTTTTGCATAACACAAAAGAATATTTGTTCGAAATCAAATGAAATCGATCGATCTTTATTAATTGGAATTTGGTAATTCCAATTGAATTTTATATTTTGAATTGAAGGTCTGGTCTTTTGTCATTGCTTAGTAAATGTGTTTCCCGAAACTTTAACAATAAAAAATTCAAGATGGGTTTGAAAAAGATTAACAGTAAATCGAACGTTATTACAGGTGGTAACAGATTTGGTGCAGGGCGAATTCATGCAACTTGGCAGCAAAGAAACTGAAAACGAGCGGTTCGCTCACTACCTCACAAAGACGTACAGGAAGACGGCTTCATTAATTGCTAATTCTGTTAAGGCGGTAAGCTCCGATTCCCTAATTTATTGAAGAATTTTAAACCCTTTTGTAATGTAAGAACAGAAAATTCACACGATGTATCGTGATGACAGACATATCTGTAGATCTGGAATTTAGATTGAATCAATCAATACTGTGAACATAACTACAATATTAATTGTGTGTTAATGTTTGGGTGGATTCGAATAACTATTCGAGTTTTTTTTTTTTTTTAGGTTACAGTAATAAATTACACATATTTTTTTTTTATATTTCCTTCTTTTTAAATAATCCACAGTATTAGGTGAAAATGCGCTTATTGTATAATCGTTCACAAAAGTTTTGTTTGTTGTTAAATAACTAATAAATAATAATAATAAATATGTGTATGGCGAAACATTTGATTCCGTCACGCGCATGTGCGATCGAAGAAATCTAGGAGGAAATCTAATGATCCAATGGGCCTTTAATGAAAAACATTGCACATTTTTACATGAAATAAACAATTTATTATTTTATTTAGAGCCGCTTTTATTTAAGCGTCCTAAAGTGCATCAGTAATTAGTGAAATTTTATTTTCAAATTACACATTCAATTTTGTAATTAAAGTTTTCGTTTTTCTAATAAGTAAAATATGACACAGGCAAGAATTTGAAATTGTACAACAAAACGAAAAAAAAACAGTTCTAAAGTGCCCTCCGCGTCCAGAAGTTGTATAATTTTTTTTCCTACCTATGCTGATAGCCTCGTGAGGCTATTTCAGCTTCGCCCTAACGTTTGTAGGTGAGCTCACGGGACTCAAACCGGAGTGTTGCTAACACTGACCCTAGCAAGAGCAGTGCTTCGCAGAATCTACCGTCGGATCGGAAACGCGACCCACTGAGAAGATCCGGTGAGAAACTCAGTGGGCTGTGTCTATGGGTTAAAGTTGTATGAACGTTAAGTTTCGCCGACAGGTCGCTTTACTGAGCGGCGCCGACGAGAGCACGTGCGAGTTGGCGTTCCAATACGGACGGAACTTGGGGCTCGCGTTTCAGCTCGTCGACGACTTGTTGGACTTCGTGTCTTCAGCACAGGCTATGGGCAAGCCCACCGCGGCCGACCTCAAACTCGGTCTTGCCACCGCGCCTGTTCTATTCGCCTGCGAAAAGGTATTTTTTTAACTCAATATTTTCAAATAAAAAATAGTAGACAGTCATTATTCTCCTGCCCTTCTCCCAGTCACCTGGGTTCGGCGCAATAAGTTTTCTCCTTTCATACTCTTCTGTCATATACCGTTTCTTCGCTCACTCCCCTCTTACACATATCGTTTTCCATCACGCAATCCATCCATTTATTCTTAGGTCTACCTCTTCCTCTATATCCTTCATTCACACATTCATAGTTAACACTCTCTTACCAGTTTCATTTTCATTTCGTATCATCACATGTCCATACCATCCCATTCCATCTCAAAATAATAGACAGTATAAGCTATAATTAAGAATAATCTTATTTTACTTTTGAGTAAATACATAATCTATTAAATCGTATGTTATAAAATTATATTATCATCTTACATTCTTTAAGTTGGTTGCTGATGATTGTACAGACTGGTGGTAGGTACCTACGTATTTTTAGACGCAATGCATTTTAGTTTGAAGAGTGGAACGATCGGTACAATGAAATTGTTACTTCGACCTCAGACTCTAATATGGATTTTTGTTTTTGGTAACAGCTTAACACTATAACGCAATATAAAAAAATAAAAACAAATAAAAAGAGCCTGTGCGGGGTCAAATTTTTTCCGGGACGCGCATTCGGCTTCGAATCAGTAAGCAACTTTTATTGCTTAGATTAGATTTTATTGCTTAGATAGGTGGATGAGCTCACAGCTCACCTGGTTTTAAGTTGTTACTGGAGCCCATAGACATTTACAACGTAAATGCGCCACCCACCTTGAGATATCAGTTCTAAGGTCTCAGTATAGTTACAACGGCTGACCCGCCCTTCAAACCGAAACGCATTACTGCTTCATGACAGAAATAGGCAGGGTGGTGGTACCTACCCGCACGGACTCACAAGAGGTCCTACCACCAGTAATTACGCAAATTATAATTTTACGGGTTTGATTTTTATTACACGATGTTATTCCTTCACCGTGGAAGTCAATCGTGAACATTTGTTGAGTACGTATTTCATTAGAAACATTGGTACCCGCCTGAGATTCGAACACCGCTGCATCGCTCAACACGAATGCACCGGATGTCTTGTCCTTTAAGGCCACGACGACGTCAGTTTTCGGTAACAGCTTAACATTACAATGCAATAAAATAATTTACTGGTGGTTAGACTATTATTGTAGGTAGGCAACATGATTGGAGTTTTTCAAAAGAAATCGAAAAAAAAACACACACTTGAAAGGTCCGTTCGCTGGGTTTGTTTATGTGTAATTATAATGCCTATAAAAACCGGTAATTGTATGTCTCGTGTCTCGTCAAACCGTCCTTTCGTTTCGGATTAACTGTAATATTTTGCTCAGTTTAATCGTTTTACATTAATTATAATGTTACAATACAGAGCGCAGTGATTCCGAGTGCAATATTAAAACCGGTCCGTTCGCCTCGACACGTGAACTCCAAATTGAACGCATTGCATTCGTTTCGACTTGCACGAAGGAAGCGTTTACGCAACATCCAACTACTGCATTCGTCAACCTAATTTCGATTGCGAGCGATATCAAGAATTCTAAATGCGTGAATCAATTAGAATTATGTAGATTATGTATGTACTTTGGAAAGTAAAATTATTTTTGTATTTAACATAAAACCGTCATAAGCGTATTGGAATATTAATAAATTTCACGAATCGAATTGATTAGTTTATGTTAAAACTGATAGAATTTTAATGCGGTCTAAGTTGATGATTGGGTTTCGCTAAAAAAAACGCTAAACAGTAACTCTCAAGCATATTCACGAATTACTAGTGTAATTTCATTGCACAACCTTTTTTTTGATGTTAATGAAACGAGTGTTAAGCTGTTTATTCCCTTTACAGGATAAATATGTAATTATTAACTCTTAATTCTATGGTATATGATAGCCAAAAATAGTTGGGCTCACATAATCCTACGCCAGTTTACTTAAAACTTAATATCGACAGTGAACAGTAATCAAAATGAATAAATAATCGACAATGTCCTTAGTATCCGGAGCTGAATCCGATGATAATGAGGCGGTTCCAAGAGTCCGGCGACGTGGAGAAGGCGTTCGAATTGGTCCACAAGTCTCGCGGCCTCGAGCAGACGCGTTTCCTAGCGCGCAAGCACGGCGCCGAGGCCGCGAGACTGGCGGCCGACCTGGCTGACTCGCCCTACCAGAAGGGACTAGTGCTCACCACCGACCTCGTCCTCAACAGGATCAAATAGCGCGCTCGCTCTTCTCGCTGCGAACGCGTAAACGTCCGACATTGTCAACGTTGTACTTTACATAGATGATTGCTGAATGCGTGCACGACAATTTAAGAGCACGAATATATTTATATAAGATACCTTTTCTGAAAAGGTGAACGTTTGTACGGAACGCGAGGACTTAACGCTTTCGTGCACTCGTTATTAAATACGAAACAATATGGTTATTATATTTTTGGTTAATCAGTCGAACTGATTGTCAGAAAAATATATATATTTTTATTTATATAGAGTATGCGTGCAGTTGTTTACATGTATTTGTTACTGTCTTATGATGCGAACTTCACTATTGTGACCTGATTTATATTGTAAGTGTTTTACAATCTAAACGCTGCTTTACGTCGAACCGAGATGTTAAAATACAATAGTGTTTTATTTTTTGTTTATATATAAATGAGCGTGTATGATGAGTACTACGATACCAAATACATCTGTACTTAGGCGTGCAGTTTCGTGCTCAATTTAACTTAATACATGTATGTGTTGTGAAATAAAACGTAATTGGGTTTCTTTTTTGTACATAATATACCGATATATATGCATATTCTAATTAAACATAATATATAATCTTGTGCAATCTTTACGTAGGATTTAATTAGACGGTACCTGTGTTATCAAACGTTATCATCATCATCATCACAATAGTAAACAATTGTTTTATAATTATTATGACGACATTTTTTTTAAACTCCTTCCAATCTATATTTCGATTTGTAAATAACGAGTCATCGGATTAGTTACCCGTGATTTAAACTCCAAAACCAATTACCTCAATTTCTTTAGCGTACACGTTTTTCAAACTAGAGGTTTATAATATTCTGTTTTAGTTTGTAAAAATAAGTTTACGATGAGGCGTGTCGTCGTGTCTAGGCAAAATTCATTAAAACACGTTTAGAAAGTTTTATTAAAAACGATATTAGCTAATTTAGTGATTAGAATTGTAAATAAATTTCGATATTATATAATATGTATAATCCAGTGAAAATATTTTGATTAACGATTGAGGCATGAATGACAAATGTAAAACGCACCATGAGCGCAGTATTCCTTCAACTTTTTTATTGTTTAATAAAACATATTAGTCACTAATAAGTTCATTTAGTTTAGAAGCCGACGTAATGACTGACAATAAAAGTACCTCCAAAAATGATGTACCTCCAAAAAAAAAAGACTCTTGAGATACATTCGGGAAGTAAAGTGTGTTTAATATATATATAATCTATATTTTAGTGCAGATACAGTGTATGCGATTATGAGGCTGGAATTAGCAGGTCTCTGGAAGACCATGGGTCACCCGATAGTAAACATGGACAAAAGCACAGCGTCATGGTGTAAGAAAGGGACGGTGTTGACGCGAGGTCGAATTTGCCTCTTACACCTGATGTGTACCCCCACATACGAACATGCTACGTGGCAAATGAGTGGGGGAAACCCAAACCCTCCGATGGCACCCAGAGGATTTTGTAGGCGTGACATTACTAGATTTTTTTTCTTTCAACCACCACATCGATACTATCGATATTATTTCTAAAAAAGCAGTAATTCCAAAATGCACAGAGTGGATCTATAACTATGACACAAAACTACAGAACATTACACGGAAAGTTTCCTTCAGAATCTCCCCCACGACAAAGAGCGTCGTAATGCATTACCTAACGACCGAAATTTTTAATTTTAAAGAGATCATCTCCCTCATAGACACGGGAGTGGTCCCTAGAGACTGGAAAATAATGGTTGCCGTACCAAAGGAGCGTGAGTTTAAGGAAGTTGACGCTCTCTGTAACGGAAAGATGACCCGAGATAAGGGCCTATCAGGTCGTCAACGAAAAAAACATCTCGGCTGTCATCTTTTAGTACATCAAACATCAATCTATGACACTGAGCGAGGAAAAACTCACCAAAACGTTAATCCGGATGAGTAACCTTGGAAAGGATCACGATTATGTCAATATAGTCATCAACTTCCCGTCACGGTGCACCCATTTCCTGGCTGAACTTTTGACCCCCTGTTCCACAGCCTGAACTATCTATTCGGCTTTAAGAATGTCTATGGATTCACACACACTTCCCCTCTTGTGGAAACTTTATTATTCCAAGACAGGTTTGCTCCTCCTAACCAGGATGCATAGGGCGATCCTATAGAGGGCCCTAGATGCGTGATCGTGCCGGAAGCCTGATTAGAAGGGCTCAGGCAGAGAGGTTGAACCCTGGCCACCATTATGATAATTTTATTGGCCGCCAACAAATGTGACACCACGGCATCGTTATTGGGATAGGGGGACAACCAAATCATCGTTCTCAGAATTCCCTCTCAACAGCATCTTGCCGATAGGCAGTTAACCCACGAACAGTACACACAGCAGTTCCTTAGAGTCCTAGAGGGGATTTGTGAAGAGTCGGGGATTGTTATTAAAGTTCCCGAATCATGGATATCAAGAAGGTTGCTGGAATACAGCAGAAAGTATTTCATAGACTGTGTACAGGTGAGCAGCGCCTTGAAGAAAGTGTCCAGCTGAACTAGTGAGGCGAATCACTCGGTTCCTACCGTAAATACTATCATAGCAGGGCTCTTCTCAAGTGGGACTGCCATCGCCGAAGATGACGTCACTCCAATCCCCGCCTATAAGTTAACAATCTTCGAGGCGACTACCACACTGGCGACATCGACAGCGAAGACTTCCTATATGGTCAGGCTGTCGTGTCTGAATGGTACAGAGAGTATAGTTACCTCACTTCCTCTTTAGCTCTCGTAGTGGAGAACAAGTGTGTGTGGGAGCTCCCAACAGAGACATTCTCTCTCGATGAGTGTCACTACCAGGGCTTGCCCATGTTGAGGGTGCTGAAAGACATCACTCAGGTGGAGGATAGACACCTCATCTTACTTCTGGTGTCGGTGAAATTCTGTTTTCGCTGGCATCGTCATTAGTGGCTGCGGGCATCTAAACAAGAATCACCTCGACTCAGTGCTTCCGCTGACATATATATTTTAGTGCAATAAAAAGATTCAGCAAAAGCAATGATATATGCACGTTTCTACAATATTACTTTTTTTTGTGGTTTGAACTTTGATATTGTTTGTGCTTTTGAAATGGGTCTTGATTTTTAGTTGTTTTCTGTATTTTGACATTTTTTTTGAATGTTTTTCTTTTTCGGTCATTACGTCGGCCGACCCAGTAAGAGGTTGTGGTGTATGTATTTGTACATGAAGACAACAACGGGAGTCAATGAATTATTATATTTATGTATTTAGACATTTACCTAGTTCGTACGTTTGTAAATATTAATATTCTGTAAAATGCAAATCATGAATAATTTTAATATAAAGTTTAGTTAAAGAATATTGTTTTATTTACTTTGTTTGTTTGTGTTTTAAAATGTGTAAACATATGTTCGGTGCGGGGTTACAGTGATCTTTAAAAAAGTTTTAAAAAGCACCCGGTCATTAACAAAAAGTAAAAAGATAGAAAATAAATTTTTAAGGTGACAATATCGCTAATTTAGAGCATTTGTCTAATTATGAAAACTTAAAAGATAAATAATAAATTGAAGTCGTCCTGCTGTAAAGAATAAGAAGCCCAGTGTATTCGTTTTTTTTTCTACCTACGCTGATAGCCTTGAAGGCTATTTCAGCTTCGCCTTGCATGTAGCTGAGCTCACTGGGCTCAAACCGGGAATATTGCTAACACTGGCCCTAGCAAGAGCAGTGCTTCGCAGAATCACCACCGGATCGGAAATGCGACCCACTGAGAAGATCCAGCGAGAAATTTAGTGGGCTGTGTCTATGGGTTAATTTACTCGTCGAGCCCTTCGTCGCATCGTATTTGTGCGAGTGTATCGGTATTAAAATCCCGCAGGTAGGTACCAAATATTTAACCTAACTTAATTATTATTTGCTGCTAGAGAGAGTGTTGCACCGCACGGATATTTTCCACTATCCCATGATATTTACAGGACAATGCATGCATGCGGTTTGAAGTGTAGTATAGCCGTTATACTATAAAATTGAGATATCGATCTCACATCTCAAGATACGTGGTTGCATTCACATTGTGATGTCCCTAATTTCTGATACCGACTTAATACAAGCTGGGCGGTGAGATTGTCCACCCATGAGTCTATTCAATAAATCTAGGGGTGAAAGACCATTTGGTTTAAGCGACATTTCGTCTAATACGCGATATTTATCTTTGTAATTAAAGGTGCGTTTTATTTGGTATTAACATCAACAGTCCGATGTTTTTAATTAAACTTCAATTAAGTTAACTCCATTCAAATAGCTGAAGAAGTGTTTTTGTTATGATATTTTTTTAAATCTTAAACTTAAAATGGTTATCCATCCGGTAAAGTTACAAAAATGTTACTTAAACCAATTATCTTTTCACCTGTCGAAATTAATTTATAAATACGGCAAAGCATACTTACTTTGAATTTATGAAGATTTACAAACGACGAAATTTTGTATTCAGTATCCTTATATAGGTCAAGGTTGACACGAAGGTTTTCCGTGACATCAAACGCTAATCAGTATAGAAGGTATGAAATAAGACCCACATAACTAGGTCAAATAGAAGCAGAGCAACAGAAAACGAAGGTTTCTGGAAGAGATTTTAGAATAACATCATAATTAAGAAAATTAATTTTAAGAAATGTATTTTTGAAATTGTAAACGTTTGGGATTAATTCATTAAGTCAGAGAGCAACATATCACCTTAAATCAAAAGTAATCGGAAAATTTAATATTTAACGGCGGTAAAGTAAATGGCCCAACTGATATAAAGTCACGTCCGTGTAGTTAAGTACTTTTATAGATTGCTTTAGTGTGGATATACGAGAATTCTCACCTTTAAGACTTTCTCTACACTCTTATTTTTACTTCCATCGCTGCTGCGTTCAAGTTATTGTTCATAATTCGAACCCGTTATTTTTTTTATTTTTTTTTATTGCTTAGATGGATGGACGAGCTCACAGCCCACCTGGTGTTAAGTGGTTACTGGAGCCCATAGACATCTACAACGTAAATGCGTCACCTCGAGATATAAGTTTAAGGTCTCAGTATAGTTACAACGGCTACCCCACCCTTCGAACCGAAACGCATTACTGCTTCACGGCGGAAATAGGCGGGGTGGTGATACCTACCCGTGCGGACTCCCGAGAGGTCCTACCACCAGCGATTACGCAAATTATAATTTTGCGGGTTAGGTTTTTATTACACGATGTTATTCCTTCACCGTGGAAGTCAATCGTGAACATTTGTTGAGTACGTATTTCATTAGAAAAATTGGTACCCGCCTGCGGGATTCGAACATCGGTGCATCGCCACATACGAATACACCGGACGTGTATCCTTTAGGCCACGACGACTTCTAAAACGCTCGTTATGCGATGCTAATAAAAATAAGGATAATTAAAAAATCCTAACTTCCCTCTCAGTGTTTCTTTAACCAATTTTACATGCTCTTTTTCATGATACCTTTAATTAGAGCAGTTTATAATCTGTAGGAAGGGAGTGGTTTATAGATAACTAGCTGACCCGGCAGACTTCGTAGTGCCTCAATCGATAAATAAAAGACCTAAGCTTTTGTATAAAATAAACTTAAAACAAACAAAAGGATTCCATCCGGCGGGGGACACATCAAAGGAAAACCAAAATTGTTATTTTTATTTAATTCCGAGCACTTTCATATTTATCTACCTTTTTTTTATTTATTTTTTTATTGCCCTTGTAGGCAGACGAGCATACGGCCCACCTGATGGTGAGTGGTTACCGTCGCCCATGGACTTCAGCAATGCCAGGGGCAGAGCCAAGCCGCTGCCTACCGCTTAATACTCTCCACAAGCCTCGTTTGAAGAAGGACATGTCATAGCGTTCGGGAAACACCGTGGAGGGGAGCTCATTCCATAGCCGGATGGTACGTGGCAAAAAAGACCTCTGGAAACGCACTGTGGATGACCGCAGTGGCTCCAGGTAGTATGGATGAACTCTACTCCGGTGGCGGGCGGTGCGATGGTAAAAACGAGATGCCGGTATCATCTCGAACAATTCCTCAGAGCACTCCCCATGGAACATACGGTACAAAATGCAGAGGGAACCGAAGTCCCTCCGCAGACCCAGAGGCTCCAAACGATCCGTGAGAATCCTTTTAAACCTTCTCTAGACTTCCACAAATAATAAATTGTTTATAATAATAAATTATATGTGGAAGACTAAAATTAGCCAAATTGGTCCAGCTGTTTTCGAGTTTTAGCGAGACTAACGAACAGCAATTCATAATAGATTAATTGAATACGATAATATCGTAATGTCGTCATGCGATATCGTGGGGCAATGTGAGGTAGTCTACAATTCTGTAATGATAAAAGCTTTTTTTTTATTGCTTAGATGGGTGGACGAGCTCACAGCCTACCTGGTGCTAAGTGATTACTAGAGCCCATAGACATCTACAACGTAAATACGCCACCCATCTTGATATATAAGTTCTAAGGTCTCAGTATAGTTACAACGGCTGCCCCACCCTTCAAACCGAAACGCATTACTGCTTCACGGCAGAAATAGGCTGAAGTGGTGGTACCTACCCGTGCGGACTCACAAGAGGTCCTACCTACCACCAGTGTAAAAGTCTGTCATGAAAATACTCAAAAAAGGAGATGTACGTACTCAATCTCGAATATTTAATTACTGCTATTATTACATTGAGTTAAGCCGTAAGTATTCTTATATCAATGACTTTCAAAACTTTTTGTGCCCTTTATATTACTACCTACGTCCTACCATTCTGCCGCGAAGCATTCGTGCGTCTCTCCTAAACTCGTATCCCAGTACTGTTTTCATTGAAACCTAATTATTGTTGGATGGTATTCAATAGTCGAAGACAGGATGAGATTGCGCAAGATTTATGAGGAGATGGCAAGGACGAAACTTGATGGAGTTGGTATCGACCATCAGACATGAGCACGACTGAAGTAAGAGTTATTCTCACGGAGCTGTCAATTGTGAACATTTAAACTTTACTTGAACTGAGAGAACTTGCTAATGGAAAATACGATGCCCCTGATCTCTTATCTCTTCTGAACTTTAATATGCCGCTGACGTCGACAAGGGCTTCGAAGTTGATGGTGTTCATGGTTCCCAGATACTACACCAATCTCGGTAAGAACGCGCCTCTCAGCAAACTAGTTAGGGAATTAATTTGCATAGCAAGTTATCTCTGGACGTTTTTGCTGGCACTGTTGACAATTTTAGACGAGAAGTCTACAACCTTGCTCAATGAGCTTTTTCAATTAATTAACAGCGTATTTGGTAGTAAATATGTAATAATGTGAGGTATTCATGTAATGTTTATATGTAGTTTTTTTTTATACAAAGATCTGCTTTTTTTATCAATGCTTGCAGCTGGCACCTGTACCTAATTGTGTTAGCTTTTAGTGTGAAATCAATGTATATGATACCTGTAATGTTCTGTGCTGATGTATAACATGTTGGTACCCAATAAATAAAATAAAATAAATTGGCAGTGCATTTTTTTCTTCTTCTAGTTATTTTAACATTAATTGACACGCTGTCTTGAACCTTATAGTTATCGTATTTAACTACTTTTCAAAGTACCTTTACATCGCCACACAAGATAATATCGCCTTTTAAAATATTAAGTACCTAACATATAAAGTCTGATAGAAGTATATTGTGTGGAAGTATTTAATAGTAGAATGCAAGGATTGTAAAGCTGCGTGTTTGCGGCAATCGATCGCCCCGCGCCCGGTACCGTCAGGACGACATGAATGCCTACTAAAAATGACATGCAGAACTTATGGCCACAAAGTATCCACATACTATTGGAATACACAACAATAATGTAGTTAATCTGTTCTAGGTTAGATTATCTCGATTATAGATTAAAAAAATCAGTACATTTAAACTTAATAGCATATATATTTACGCCTTTTTCTGTCTGATATTCAAGTTGGTACTCTTCTTAGACGAGAGAAGCGCCTTGCTTAAACCTTTGTCGACATTACAAACTTCAATGTTTATAAAGTTGTCATTTGATTTGGAAGAGAAATTAACAATTGAATATACTCAATATGGTAATCGTGGGTACATTATATTTTATGATCACATGCAAAACTATTGTTACCATAATTAACGGTCCAAAAGTGTATACTTACGTGAAATAATAGTGAAAATGTGAGATAACACTTATATCTGAGATAGCTCGTAAAATAAAGGTAGGGGCAAAACGTAATTTCGCTCTATGTAAATTGGCAATGCCATGGACCTACGCAGTGACATCGTATTTTACCTTTTTATTTCGCTAATCATATTACTTTGTTATTGACTTTCGATGTTTTCTTTTCAATGTCCCTAAAACATGAACGTCTTATACGTTTTATTGTAAATTTTTCTGTTAGATTATATTTTTTATTAGGTAATAGGCAGAAAATTTTGCAGCATATCTGTTGTTAACGTTTTCTTGAATTTAATGTAGGCAGAATGGTATTTACCTGTGGGAATGCTGCCCTATATGACCACTGTTGTAGATTGAGACTAGTAATTAAGTGCTAGAAAGTAAGAGTAACAAATATGTAATTTAGGTAATTTAGGTAAGCACATTTGTTGCGGATCGAATATAAAGAACTACATAATAGAGGTAGTTTGTGGAGACTGCAATCATACGCGTTTCTGGTTATTAACATTATTAGTTGAGGTGGACTGTCACACACCTTTGTTGCATTTTTATTTGGGTTACAGCTTACCATAAATAGTCTTTCTAATGTCAATGATTTTTGGGTCTCGGAAGATGAATAAAGGTGGTACAAAACATACTTGCGCTCTAGCGCGCTGCACGACAACAATTCTACGGAACTTCTGCAAAGCAACCGGTTGGGGGTGTATCGAGCTCAAACCCAGCAGGCTGGTTCTCGTTCAGCGGGGCATTCCGGAACACCAGTGGCACCGCCCAAACCTAGCTGGATAACGAAAGCATTTTATGGTGCTTTTCGATACCAAACCCCGCACCTATGTGCTTTTGGAACAATAATGGCTCAATCAACATATCACATCGCCTTGCGGGTCAGAATTAACTTTATAATCTCATGAGGCTCTCTAATGAGTACTCTACTGTTTTGTTGATATTACCACTACTTTAGACGCAGACCGATTTATTTTTATTACGAATAAGTGCAATTTTAGGTCATAAATAATTACAATAACAGGAAATTTATTATGAGGTCTATGTATAATAAATCCCAAACCGAAAAATAAATTGATGCTTTTTGCTTTCAAGAAAGGCAAAACATTTTATAATGCCGACACTATTTTCTTGTTATTATTTACGCTTTGTACATTTTACAGTCAGCAGTAATGTGACCTACTTGGAGGTCGAACAATTTTTCATTTTCTTTAATTTGTTCCTCAGACAATAGTTAATGATTTGCATATTTTAGTCGATTCAAATAACGTACGTCATACGTCAAGTTTACTTTGAAGTGAGCGTGCAGGTTGTCTAGAACTTAGTTTGTGATTGGACTGGCTTCAAATTTCACTGGACTTGTTTACGTTATAATTGGTATGTACGTGGAAATTAACACTATTGAATAGTTAAAATTTTCTGTCGTCGTGGAAATGGGGAGATTTAATTATTGATTTTAGATTTCTTATGTGGATTAGAGCGGCCGTAAATTTTTGAGACATTAGAATCACAGCTTGGTCGGAGATCTTGCCGCTTGGCTTTGACGGATGGATAACATAACATATGGGCTCAGTCAGGAGGGAATCCGACCATTGAAAAAAATATGTAAGGATGACGTCGTTGTGTCTACTAAAACTGTAGCGACGTGTATTTGAAACAACGGAATTAATATAATTACTACAAAAGTAGTTTTTAAATTATGTCAACGACTAGCGAAAACCGATATAAATACAGTAAAACGAGTACATTATTTTAGATTTGGATTTTGGATTCCAAAATGGAATTCCACTAAGTTTCAAAACTACAATTAAGAATAGCTAAGTGATAACTGAATATTTAAGCACTCCTGATCAATACAATGTTTTTGTAAGTCAATCTTGTAATCTAATATGAGAGGGTAATGTGGATTAAAAATTAAAAGTACATAAAGCCGTGAAGCAGTAATGCGTTTCGGTTTGAAGGATGGGGCAGCCGTTGTAACTACACTTGAGACCTTAGAACTTATATCTCAAGGTGGGTGGCGCATTTACGTCGTAGATGTCTATGGGCTCCAGTAACCACTTAACAACAGATGGGCTGTGAGCTCGTCCACCCATATAAGCAATAAAAAAAAACATAAATTGTAACAGATGTTATTATTATACACACTAAAACCGTTTAATATTTTTGAAATGATTCAACAATTTAAACTAATTTTAAATTAACTTTAAATATTTTGCAGTTTTACTTGTAAAGGTATACTTTAAACAAATTTCGAAACAAGAAACGATGATATTCAAACAAATTTATACGAAACCCGAAAAGAATCAACATTGAGTCGCGTCACGCAAATGAAAACGCGACTTTATTCTGAATAATTTTACCTGAAAATTCGTAACTTGCAAAACGTTTATAGGTTCGCCAGTCGCGATCGAATAGCCGTCCGGATACTAACGTTTATAATACTTACTAACGTTCAATCCTCGTTCTTAATAATAATTCTCGGTAACAACACTTACGATGTAATTTTGACTAAGTGAAATTATTGTTTAAATGTTTACCTTACGCTCGCAGCGTTTGCGTAGGTAAGACGTTCTCACTTTACAATGCAAAGAATATGATTTCTAAATATTACCTGTTTCACTCGAGAGCTATAGTGGGTATTTTATTTTTCTATTAGTAATTTTTAAATACGTTTTAGGCTTTTATTTTTTATTTATCTTATTTGAAGAAACAAATCTGTGTTCCAATGGAGGTAAATTCGAGGGGGCTTTGATAACAGCTTTGTATTAGGTGGACCAAGAGCTCGCCTGCCAATCTTAGATAAAATGCCTTGAAATTTTAATTCACAATGATGTATTTTTATGAGCGTGAATAGTGGATGTTTTTCTATAATATTTAAATTCTTTTCATCATCATCATCAGCTTATAGCCGCCAACTGTTGGACATTGTCCTCTCCAATCGCTTACGTTGAGCACGATTCTCTCATCCAGCTTTTGCCAGCTACCCTACATAGATCGTCACCCCACCAAGTTTGAGGAGGACTTGCGCTACGTTTGCCAATTCGGGTCCTCTACTCAAGAACACGTTTACTCTAACGGTTATCGATTCGGCTAATAAAATATTTTACTTTACGTAATTACTAGTGTTGACTTATTCTGTGCCCGGACGTACATACATATATGGACTATCTTTCTGCCGATTTCTGCCGCGCAATAGTTTTGCGTCTAACATCCGAAGCCTGGGACAGCTATTGTGCATTACTTGGACATTTTTTGTTAAGCAAAGGTACATAGCGACATTTACGTTGCGATACGTCTCCGATGATCGCTAATATCAGAAAGTTTGTGATCTATTCTAACCATCTACCCGTCAATGAACTTCTTAATTCAATATAATAGCTGACAGCATTAGAGGTAGCAATAAGGTTCCGTATTTTATTTAGAAGGCTGAGTGCTCCTACGTCGGGGTCTCTACGGCGGAGAGCACGGGAGCGCAAGAAAGCCGAACAGACGAGGATCGAAGGAGAACAATTAGCGAGGGAGCGACGTGAGCAAAGAACCAGAGAAAAATTAAAAAGTCAACTTAAAGTATGGCCTTAACAAAAAATGTTGAATTAACCTAAAGTTTCCGTTTGAAGGGTTGGGATAAGCGTTATACTATACGATTGTGACTTAGTTCTCATGTCTCAAAGTGGATGACAACATTCACATTGTAATGACTGTGGGTTTTGGTGACCACTTGATATTAAGTGGGCCGTGAGTTCGTTCAGATGTATGTATACCTAAAATAAATATAATGTATGGTGCTCTCGTGTAGATTACCTAATTTATTTCATTTCACCATTTCCGATAAAATACATCTTTTACTTTCAGCTGCTCGATCTTACATTGATATCTTTGGTAACGTGGTGATATAAAATATCATTATAAATTATAGTCTCAGTTTAATGAAAAATAAACGAAATTACCGGTCGATGCTTTAATTTTAACTATTATAATTATTGTAGGCTTGTATGCATTAATTGAAGCATTAATAAAGTCGATTATGAAAATTAAATTTTATGAACATAGCCTTTTCGTTCAACATTAAATTATTTGTATCAAAAAATCATAGTTTATTTTAATGAGCATGAACGTGGTTAAGTAAATTTCAAAATGTTTTCTAATCATTGAATCGTGCGGTACTATCAATAAATCAACCATGGTGTTCTGAGCGTGCAACGTACCTAAACGAGATATGGGAACAGCACGAATGCAATAAGTAACATCGTGGCCTACTGACCTACATTACGGTTTGACGAAGTGTATTAGCGAGTATTGTATGTGTAGGCTCAAGCAGAGCTGGCTTCGTATGCGCCATGGGGTAAAGCGGGCGGCGGGGCACCCAATCCGCGCGGCGTGCGCTTCAGTAACTTGCGAGCTAAGGGGATTTTTCCCGAAGACGAACTAAGGGTGAGCATTTTAAAAAAAAGCGATATTATTTTATCAATAGCTTTGATGAAACTTAATCCTAGTACTAACATAAAATTGTTTACATAAACTTTATGTGCGAAAGTCGATTCTTTAAAATGTTAAAATTTTAAAGCCGGGTTGACTTGACCTACAGGTTATGATGGAACTTCACGAATGTTGATCTGTTATTTGATATTGTGACGGAGAATCTCAAAGAAGATATCTTTATCTATTTTGAGAGCCAAAACGTTTCTACAAAAAAATTCTGTGTCTGTTTTATTTATTTATTGTGTATAACAGAGAGCAGAATAGGCAGGATGGTAGTACCTATATACATGTGCGGGGTTATAACCCTACACCAGTAAATGTCATTAGTATGATACTCAAAAATTCTGCTGTCCATTGTCCAGTGAATCCATACGTCGCCTTTTATTGACTGACATCGATGAGATAGGATGGCGCTATTTCAAGTCACATATACATTCTTTATTATTGAACAGTTAGATAAAGGTTAATAATAATAATATGTATAAATAAGTAGAAAAAATAATTATTATAACCAATCCGTGGTCATTAGCGTCTGTTACATAATTGACATTTTACGTTGACAAACTAAATATCTGAATGATCGACAGCTTCGCAGGAATGTAGTTACATCCACGATGAACCTTAAAATACCTGATCAAAAAAGACAAGGTTATAAATCTGTAAAAGGCAAAGGGTCATTTAAACACCGAGTAGATTACGGCAGTGCGGTGGCGGTGTACTATAAAGAGAGTTTTTTTACTGTCGCTGCAGCCAGAGAATGATTATATAATATGATGATGGAAGTGAAAAAAATGTGTGAACGAACCGAGTCACCGGGGTCCGTCGTGTGTTCATATTTTATAAGTTGACACACATTTACCATCTTCACCGCGGAACATAAAAAAACGCATAAATTAATCCAAATGGTATTTATATACACGCTTTTACATTTTCCAAAAAGAATGGAAAGTTACGTGATGTTCGATCGTCAACTTTTATATCGATTTTTATTTATATTTCTTTGGGGAAAATATCTCGTGGCACTATGTACAATGACACCTGAGTAAGGGAGAGAACTCTTTGAGAGAGAGTAATAATCGGGATCCTTCATTTTTAACTTCTTATGAGAGTTTCGTGAACGTACATTTATTTGTTTTTTATTATTGTTGCCAAGATGGGCCGTCGAGTTCACGGCCTACCTGGTTTCAGTGGTCACTATAGACGCCACCTGGGAAGCCATAGACATCAATACATATTTGCAGGTTATATTTTTATTACACGATGCTATTTCTACACCGTGGAAGTCAATCGTAAACATTTATTAAGTACGTATTTCTTTGGAAAATTTGGTACCCGCCTGTGGGATTCAAAAACCGACGCAGTCGCATCACTCGGTACGAACATACCGGACGCTTATCCTTTAGGCCATGATAATTTAAAACTCGTGCGCGAGCCTCTAAAACTGTGACTGCACCTTACCTCTAACTCTATAAGCAACAGGCTCTGACTTATCCAGGTTTGATTATAGTCCCAGGGTCGTTAGATTCGATAGTATGATCGCTATTAATTTGTAAGTGACTTGTTTTTTTTTATATAAATTCTAAAAGTAAGTCGTTTTCAAATACATTTATAGATGTAACTCTCTCTCTCTCTCTTTCTCTCTCTCTTCCCAGCTATTTATCCCACATGGTGGTGGGGTCAGCTTTCCTCACTTTACTCCTCCACTTCGCTCTGTCTTCGATATACTCGTCAGCAACATGGCATTCTCTTTTGTCCTTCAGCACTTCAGCGCATTTATCGATGTAACTAATGCCTTTAATTTATGTTTTTTCTAGGGAGTGTCATTACAGGAGGCTTGTCATCGTTGGACAACGTCGCAGCAACGTAGCAGGCGTCAGACTCCGATACGTCTGCGCGAGGACCCGCAAATTTTGTACGCAGAAAATCTCCGCAAAAGCGTCGACAATGATATCCGTTACAAACAAGCCCCGGCACAACAAATGGTTTACAAAAAGATTCTAGGTATATATTTTGATGAAGCTTTACCAGATACCAAACATCTCTAACGTAAATTACCCCAATAGTAATTTTCAATAATTGCGGTCATGGAACGAGATTCAAAGATTAAACTTAGTCAAATAGCTAGTGAAGTCAACCAAGTCGGAATTTTTGTATTGAGATATTTGGTATGATCTCGATATATTTATTCGTATGTGTTTCCGGTGCCCATAACCTAGGAGAAAATTCTAGGTTAGGGCCGTTGAATATTGAACATTTAATCGTCGCATCCCACTTTGGTGTTTTAAACAGATAATTATGCGTTAGGGCATTTTGAAACCCTACATGGGTTGTTACTACCACTTTTGATATTTATTCCGTGTAAGAAGGCTTTCTATTTGAATGTTGGCACAGCGTTATACAATTAAATTCAGACAATACTTAATATCTGAAGCTGGGAGGCATTTTGAAAGGCATAGTGTCTAAGGGTTCCGGTAACCTCTTCAGATTAAGTGGGTCTTCAGCTCGATCACCCGTTTATGTAAAAAAATTCTTGAATTTCTTGCGAAATCCCTAAAGCTTTCAAAACATTTTTATTTGTTTAGTATTTTCATTTCGCTGTAGATGACATGGTTGATAAAAGGAAGAAAGCGGAAAAAGCCGAAAACAAACGCGAATTGGAATACGAAAAGAGATTGGTAAAGTAAAAATGATTTATCCACATCTATTCAATATTAAAAATTTACAAATGCTTTTACAATTTGCAGCTTGCAATGGACGGACCATGGGGAAAGCCAGGTCCTGGAGGCACGATCTGGAGGAATCCTCGAAATATTGGTTTGAACTTTTCAAAGTCCATGGTATGATTTAATTTCACTGAGAAATATTATTTGTTAATTAAAATGTTTATTGTTAGTTTTTCCGGAGCTCGGCTTTAATGTATTATAATTTCCCATAAAATAATAAATTTCAAGAAAATACTCATATTATACAAATTACAGTGGCTTGGTACATTAATTTTAGCTGTAGTAATAGGAGATAGGGCGTATTATAAGAGCGCGCTGGTAAGTACCATCATCCCGCCTACATCCGCTGCAAAGCAGACATGCATTTATTCTAGCTCCAGTACCGATTTAAAAAAGTATATGTAATTTTCAGGGATGGACAAACAATGAAATTTTTACTAAACTGAAAGGGGATCATCGACAACTTAAGAGATCTTCGCTAACTTTGCCCATTGTAAAGAGAGATGATGATTACTATAAAGACGAAGGGGACACTGAAGCTGCAAAGGGCGACGTTACGAAACTACCTGACATCGGTGACATCCCTAAAAGCGGACGCCATCAACTTAAATTTTTGAATGAAAATATAAAGGATTCAAATGATACAATCACAAGAAGCAAACGTAGTTCAAAAAAGATGAAATTTATCAAGAGGCTGTCTAACGGTGAGCGATTGAAACGGATATATCCGGCAGACGATGATTCGCACAATGAGAGACACGATGGCGAAATATCGAACGATAAAAAGCTTACGCCCGAAGGAGCTATACTGAGATTGACAGGTGGCGTGGAGCTAGTGCCACTACTGGCTCGTAGGAGGCGGGTCGGAGCCCGTACTCTGCCGTCCAGTGATGTAACTCGTCCACCGGAACAACCATGCCAGTACGTCTTACGTCAAATTAATATTAAAAATATCATAATTCTTTTGAAACGAAATTTCGCTCGTTGTAGAGTAGTAACGGGTGTTAAGTCACAGCAGAGTTTTTATTTTTTATTGCTTAGATAGGTGGACGTGCCCACAGCCCACCTGGTGTTAAGTGGTTACTGGAGCCCATAGACATTTACAACGCAAATGCGCCACCCACATTGAGATACAAGTTCTAAGGTCTCAGTATAGTTACAACGGCTGCCCCACCCTTCAAGCCGAAACGCATTACTGCTTCACGGCAGAAATAGTCAGTCAGTCAGTTGAATCCTTCGAAGAAACACGATCATACGTCCACCCATCTAAGCAATAAAAAATAAAATAAAAAAGTAACCGTCGCTCATGTTTAATGACAATGCCACAAAGATGCAAGATGCCAGAAAGAACGAGACTCAATGAGAAATGCTGTGGCAGTTCATTCCAAAGCCGGATGATGACTGTATGATATGTATGTGATGATGATGATTGTATACTTTATGACTGAACGATGAGCAGTATGAAGTCAAAAGGAAGTAACTAGCTACTAACTGGCGCCCCATATTACCGTAATCCGCAAAATAGTATTCCTTAATTTGTAAAATGGTCTTTTTATGCGTCTAAAGTGCTGTTCGCTTGCTTGACCCCAACGTTTTAGAAACCAATTCGGCCTTATCTCCCGAATAACTCCGATTTTAAACGCATCAGGAAACGTCGGCATCGAGAATTCTGAGAGCTTTGCATAATGACAGGGATAATACTCGGAATCGCGACGATGATAACGATGATAAACGGGTTCTGCTTTTTAGTGAGCGCGCAAAAATGTATTTGAGGTTGATTGAAATTAATTAAATTCATCCCGTTATGGGATCCGCCCCCTAAGAGCTTTCCACTACACAAATAAGTATTGATCGCCTCTCCTGGTCATACGCCAAGAGAAAATCTGACAGCCGGTCAATTGCAAGTAATGCATTTGCAAAGTTTTTGGGGATTCCATACAATGTTAACTTCAATAGATGTGCCTACGCCAGATCTTTTCGACTTGGGAACATAAAGGAGACGACAAATATCATTAAAATATTTTTTAAATCTTTCTGAAAATATTTGCTACGTTACGTGTTCACGGGCGCTCATAATTGACTACCTGTTAGCATTATATTTAGATTGGTATTAGTATGGACATCAGGTGCACATAATGTCTACGTTCGCTCCACCGGCAGTTGGGAACCAAGTGAATAAAAATTCAATTCATAGCCCACGATCAGAAATATTTCCATGTATTTTGCAATTCCTTTTTTTAATATACCAACAAGTGGATAGTGATCGCTTATAAATTGATAGGCTTAAAAGAATTTTTATACGTGATTAATTTTTGCCAGCGGCTCCGTAAAAGGTCGTTGTTTAAATGCGTACGAATTGCACCATAAAATATTTCGGATCGAAAACCCAGAAACACGCGCAAAATGTCAACTGGTGTTGCAACTTCAGCCGATCGTCAATTGTTAACTGATTAATTATTTCGCATAAATTACCCATTAACAACTTATACAAGAAAATCTATTTAAATTAGTTCAGTCAAGTGGGCTCCGATAGTAATAGTATTCTGGTATTTAAATGAGCAAGGTGAGAACGCTAAGATTGCGTCACAGCTTTCTACCGAACACAGTGCCGTATGACATCACATGGGTGAAGATTTATGGATTTCATTAGCTCAATAAGACGCATCCGCCACTGATACTTGTTGATAATGATCTCTAGTAGAGAGAGATCAATAATGATAATGGTTTAATTTAGATAAACGCTCAGTTTAATGACTTCTTTGAACCTATTGACCTTCTTGGCATTCATAAAATTAATGAACTTGAATGCGAATGTTTCTTGTAACAACGAATGTTTCAGATGGCGTGAAATTCTGAATGTTGATTACTTGAGGGAACTCAAACATCAAATGCGAGTGAAATGTGAAAAAAAAGAGGTAAGGACGCATACATTTTACGTTTAATTTGTTTATTTAAATTTACTGATGCCTATTCTTTAATTTGTATCTGTATTATTATTTAATTTCTTTAATATACATTTTCTTCGGTTTTCGCGACACTTTGACAATTTGAAATTACTTTTTCGCTTTAACCTCGCGTTTTTAATGCCGTTATATTATTTCTGACGACGACTGTTCATTTCTTAACAGTTTACGTTGTCACTGAAGACTCGGTACCTTAAAATTCGCTTACATGTCCATTTAACAGCACTCAATAACAATCCTTAAATATTCATAGAGGCGATTAACCGATTAAAGACCTAAAATCTAAAATTGTTTTTCTGCTACACAAACAACACGAAACTTTTTTTATTGGAATTATTTAAAAAAAAAAAATTTTTTTTTTTTTTAGGAGAGCCGTCGCACATCTGCTGAGAGTGTGAAGCAGCACCACGTGACCTGGGCGTCGCTGTGGGGTCGTCCGGGCCACGGGGCACCGCAACAACGGGGCCGATACGCTAGAAGCAACCTCGCTCAAATATTATACGTTGCACCTTTAGCTCAATCTTAGGTATAAAAGAAAAAGAAAAAAAATCACAGACACATAAACATTTTTAATTAAAAAAAATATATATTTATGCCGACAAAATTTCCTACATAAATCTGTATCTAGGGTAGTAAAACTAATCAACATAATAATATGTGTATTTGGTTGACATTAAAGGTGCATAGAACAGTATTTTTGTTAACAGTCATATTGTCCGATTAGGAGTCGTTTTAAATAAATTCATTCATTTTATTACTACCAAAACAAACACATCCACCGCCTTGCCCTTATTTTGATCACATTCCAAGAACAAAAAAAAAGTAATTTAAATTTAAATTGAAAAAAATATCCACAAAACGACTGTCTGTGACGATGATCCGAAAGGCAATATTATGTTACGTTAATTAATTTTATGACTTTTATTTCGATTGTGCGTGCCTGTCCCCTTTGTTACAAGCGCTATCTTACTCTTAAATGGTTATTCTTTAAGGGAACTTAATTTTTTTATAGTAACTGGTATGAGCTTTTACAATTTGTCTTAAAATATTTAAAAATATAAGTAACATGCTAAATACTTAGTATATTTTGTGATATGACATATTTTATTGTTGTAAAACACAAATTACAATATAGAAACGCCTAGTTCATATTTGAAAGAGTACAAAATGTTATTCTACAGTGCTCTTGGGAACATGACATTTATAAGAAATGTAACAGTATTAGTTTCGAATTGTATCGATAACATCACATAATATTGTGTCTTCAATTGGGTGGTATTGTGTCGTTCAATTAGAGTTGATAATAAATCAATGAAGTTATAGGGTAGTTGGATAGTAGTCTTTTGTTATGTAAATTCCAGCGTTTACCCATGTAAATTATATTAATCCAAGCTTTCCTAAGACTAAACTTTAAATCCAATACGTGTGGACTCTGGACATCAAAGACTTAATATTCCCCACGGGCCACCACTTTAGTACACATATAATTGAGATTTAGCCAAACCTCATTGCTCAAAGTATGGTCGCCATCCTACACTATGTCTATGAACAACCATAACCGCTTAATACCAAGTTGGTTGAGAGCTCGTTCAACCATCTGAGCAATAATAAATATGTACATATCTAATTTTTGTGTTCAGTGCTTAGATGGGTAGACAAGTTCACGGCTTACCTGCTGTTAAGTGGTTACTGGAGCCCATAGACATCTATAACGTAAATGCCATCACCCACCTCGAGACATTAGTTCTAACGTTTTTAGAGTACAATGGCCGCCCCACCCTTCAAACCGAAACACATTACTGCTTCTCGGAAGGCATAGGCAGGGTGGTGGTACCTACCCGTGTAGAGTCACCAGACGCCCTACTACCAGTAAAATGTACATGTAAATGCGTCCATAAAAAATCCCCCGAGAATAGTTTTTTTTGTTGATGTAAGGTACCTTATGTTCTTTAGTGTGTCATGATGACATGTACGCATAGTTTTAGGATGATACCTTGATAAGTTTAGATCTGAAAGCGTAAAAAACAAATAAGCACACTTTTGCATTTTTTTATATTAAGAATGGAAGTACCTATGGGTTTATGTTATTTGATCAGTAGGGTCGAAAAAGAGAGATTATACGACAATCTTTAAGAATGAATTATAAAAATATCTGCTTTAATCCAAAAAAATATTATTATTTAATTATTATCGTTGTATTCAACGCAAGTCACGAATGTAACTCGACTTGTTCACTACTTTTTTATCTCTCCGAATATATATTTGTTGTTTTGATTGATATTAGATGTAACATTACACAATACATTCCTGTGGTTATTGAGTAACAATGCATAGCGATGCGCTCGAGTTGATTGTGATCTGTGGTTAATGGAATCAATGCAACAGGTGGAAGATTTTCCAGCACGTACTCTCCACTCGGACAGTGACTCGACAAGATCATTTCTCTTTATAGTAATAAACTACTTATGCAATTGTGGATGCACGCGTATTGATTGTGCTTCACGGACTTAAAAAATAACATAGCGCATTGCGTGGTTACTGGTATTAGCGTATGTTGAACTTGAGTTGACTCAATTCTCCTACCCCTGGGAACCGTAAAATAGTTCCCTTGCAATAGGAAGACGTTACTTAAATGCCTTTGCGACGGTAGATCGTTATTATTAAGATATAAAAATATTATCTATATATATAAAAATGAAACCCGTTTTCCGTTGTCACGACATAACATGAAAACGGCTTGACCGATTTGGCTAATTTTGGTCTTGAATTATTTGTGGAAGTCCAGAGAAGGTTTAAAAGGTATAAAAATATGAAAATTCTCGGAATTAAATAAAAATAACAATTTTGTTTTCCCTTTGACGTGTCCCCCGTCGGACGNTATTTGTGGAAGTCCAGAGAAGGTTTAAAAGGTATAAAAATATGAAAATTCTCGGAATTAAATAAAAATAACAATTTTGTTTTCCCTTTGACGTGTCCCCCGTCGGACGGATTCCTTTTGTTTGTTTTAAGTTTATTCTATATAAAAGTTTAGGTCTTTTATTTATCGATTGAGGCACTACGAAGTCTGCCGGGTCAGCTAGTATGTTATAATTAAGCACAGTCTCATTGAATTCGCAAAAAATTGTCGACAAGTCAATAATGTAACTTTTGTCAAAGCACTTGTTGATAACTAGGTCAGTGTTCATTGGCATGAGCTCGTTCTGGTTTAATTGGAAAAGGGTAAATGATGCAATGTGACATTAAGACGATACGCGAGCTACTTTTGGCCATAATTATATCTTAGCTTTTCCCCCCTCGAATAATGACACTAGAACTTTATACCACATGGTCTATAAATTATTGCCTTGTCGTTTTTTTTTTCACAGAATATTTAATAAAGTTTGTTTTGTTTATGATTGAACTCAGTTTATTGGTATAGTCCACAACAACTTCTTTTAGTTTTTAATTTTCTAGTTAATAATAATAAATTAATTTAACTAAATGTTGCATTGTTTATAATAAGTTATACAGTACAAGTGTAAAAAATTTGTAATTTTAACTCGGAAATATTAGAAAATCTGCTATGTATGTAAAAGTCGATGTGTGTTCCCTATTGATTTTGAAGTGCCTGGACCAATTTCGATGCAGATCGATTTTGGCCTAACGGGTAATCCCGTGAAGTTCAGTGGCGATCGGATTAATGTCAAATCAAAGATCGGCCATTAAAGGGGGCCGGCCGGATTTGATTAGTAATAATTAACGCACTATGATTTTGGTACATTTGGTTAATCTAGCGCCAATCCTATTATATTCCAACAGATACATACGACATACATATCATAAAAAGTACATATTTATAGATTGTTTTTTTCATGAATCACTCTTACAAAATTTTATCCGAATGTTGAAGGGTGTTACTAGCATAGCATGTACCAATAAAGTTGACAAATGTTTTTATGTAGATAAACGTTGGTAGATAGTATGTAACGATGTAGGTAAATAAACATGTAAGATGAAATAAATAGCGTTCTTGAATTTAATCATGTAAGAAATCGGCTTTATATATGAATAAAAGAAATGTTTGTAGTTAAATTGTTGTGTGTTTTGTTACATTCATAGTTTGAAGTTTCGAACAATTAGATTTTCGTTTAAGCACTCATTAAGTTATAGTATTAAACTTCCGTTTTATTGGTGGTAGGACCTCTTGTGAGTCCGCGCGGGTGGGTGCCACCACCCTGCCTATTTCTGCCGTGAAGCAGTAATGCGTTTCGGTTTGAAGGATGGAGCAGCCGTTGTAACTATACTGAGATCTTAGAACTTATATCCCAAGGTGGGTGGCGCATTTACGTTGTAGATGTCCATGGGCTCCAGTAACCACTTAACACCAGGTGGGCTGTGAGCTCGTCCACCCACCAAAGTAATAAAAAAATATATATATTGAAGTCCTTAAACAAATTTTCTGAGGGAAAAGCAAAGTATAACTACTAACGTGATCTCTACATTTCTTATCTCTTGAGTGAAGATAATTCTTAACAGAGCTCCGCGAGTGTGCACACTACGCAGCCTGTGAAGGAATTATGTGGTTTCCCGAAAAAAATCCATGCTGGAAATTATTTAAGCTAAAGGAAATATGGTGAGGAATGAGGAAGATGAAATCGTTCTTTGAAAAGCTTAATTACGTCGAGGTCACCAGCTTGGAAAGTTTAATTAGGTCGGCGTCAATAGTTTGGAAAGTTTAACCACGAAAGGAAGATCTTCCACTGAACTTGTATAAATTCTAACTTATTTTGAAAATGTCATGAGATTCATACATTTGTCAAATATCTTGTGTTCTGTGATGGCTACCCGCCTCAGTCCTGACTTAAAAGTTAGAGCGTATACAGAATGATGCGACCATGCGAGGTTTCAAATCCCATAGACGAACACCAAAGCTTTAATAAGGAAATAAACAACGAACGACAGTGAAAAAATAACATCGTCTAATGAAAATAAAATCGTAAAATTCACAAAAAAAATCGATGATGTTGGTTCGTGTTGTAAGTTCGTCATGGTTCATCCTTCATCCATCATCATCACCCTTCATGTTTCTGCCATTGTAGGCAGCGGCTTGGCTCTGACATTGACTGACATTGTTCGTCCTTGGGCGACGGTCACCACTCACCACCAGAGGTGTCATATGCTCTTCTCCCTACAAGGGCAATAAAAAAAACGAAACAACCATCAGATCCATCTTAAAAGGTGGGATAGCCATTATAAAATAAACTTGATACTTCAACTTCATGTAACAAAGTGGATGGCTGCATTAATGCTGTTATATTTATGAGTAAGATGTCTCAGATAGTTACTGAACACGAAACAAACATGAGCTCAAGCAATAGAGAGCAATAAGAAAAAAATAAATATAAAACTAGTTCTGTAAATAAACTTGAATTTTATTTTTACATATATTAAACTATCGATTATATTTTATCGATTCAAGGCACCTCAGTTGAGCCACAGATATACCTAATAATATGTCACCCAGAGAAACCGGTAATATAAACAGAAATGTGCGTATGTAAACGACAAGTCAAGAGAAAGCCTCTTATGACGAAACTACGACAGAACAGTAAAAAGTCTTACGGCTCACGAAGGCGCGGCTGCA